CCTCGACTTACACAACGCAGTTTTTAAAAATTACTTCGCCAATGAACTCACAAGATCGATCGTTTTTGAAGCAATTTAAAACATTCGCAGTGTGCGTTTCATCAAAGCTGAAGTCTGATAAAACACTGCTGCTCATGTTTTAAACAGTACTTAAAAAATACATTTCTACAAAAAATACATGTCAACTAAACATTTCAAAACTGGCAAAGTAAAAGTGAAGAGAAAGGCATTATTTACTGAGGGTAACACGTGACAGTTAGAAACTGATAAACTTGTGGCCCTCAAAATTTACAAAATTTAAGATATTACACAGTCCCTATTTAAAGTTAAAATTATTTAAACACGAGCCTAACGCTGCAACCTATTTGCACATTTTTGATCATCTAAAAACTGTTTATAAATACTACGCCTAAAGCTAAAAGCAGAATGTATACTTCTAACGTTCAAATCTAATTTGTTCCAGTCTATAATTGTTCTTACAGTGAAGGTTCTGCCTCCTTCTGTTTTACAGTTGTAAATTGGGCATAGCATATTCAAATTCGAATAACGTGTATTCCTACTATGCCTGTCTGAATTTCGCGCTAAAAGTGAATTTAGATAGCTAGGAGTATTATAAGCACTATTTACACGCTTATACGCTAACATTATTCTCTTGATCAAAGACTCCTTCGTAAAAGGAAGCCAATTTAAAGTGTTAAACATAGCAATTGAAAAACGTCTTTAGCATTAGCCACTTACCAGTATTGAGCCAAATTTTTACACTCTTTATGTCAAACACCTTGGACGAGCGTTTGTCCGACCGACAAACTGCGGGGGATTTATCGTTGTAGAATCTTTGAAGGTCACTAAGCTTCCAGAAGTGGCGGTGCCCACAACGGTCTGAATGACACTGGATCTCATGATGACGAGAACATTTCCTTTCTTCTTTACCAAAACAGCAGGTACATTCCACTTCGAGGTTATAGCTGGTCATGCTGAATAATAGTTGATCTGGAGATTTAAGGTCGTCCAAGCACTTTTTCAAGGTGGCTAAGAGATGACTGGCAAACTTGAAATGGTTGCCATCCTGTTTCGGAAAAACGGCAACCTTAATGAACTCGTGGAAGTCGATTAAACAAACATCATACACGTCGCCGTCTATAATAAGCGGAAGCAAGGAGTAGTTGCAGTAGAAAGAAGGCGTGGCTTGTTGATTGGGGAAGCGCTTTTTCCACTCAGAAATTAACTTCACTTGAAGCTTCGTAAACAGGCTCATCGGTACAAGTTTGCGAGGGAATGTTACAAAGAGCGATGGAACATTGCTAGCTTCCAACTCTTTTCCTGGTATCATAGTTGGGGCAACTGAAGGGACATAAAAAGCTGCCTTCCCCTCGTGCTGGCAAGGACAAATCAAATTGAACTTTTGCATAAGCTCTTCTAAAAGTTCTGCGTCTTCCAGCTTCTGAAGATATTCTCGAAACAAAATGCCTTTCTGCTCGAACACATCAAGAGCGTGCCTGGACAATGCATCCAATTTGACAGGCATGGAGATCACTTTCGTAAAGCGATTCATTAGCCAGTGAGGATCCAATACAACCTTGCTGGATCCACTGTGGTGTACGACCACACCTTGGCGGTGTAAAAATTTGATAGCTTGATCAAACTTCCCAATGTCACAGATCTCCGCTTTCCGCTTAGCTTCGTCAATTGAGATATACTTGCAATCTGGTGATAGCTTCTGGCTTAGAGCAACTTCAAAATCTAGCCACTTCACAGGCATTAAAATCTCCTGGTTAAGGACTGCATTCGAGAACTCAAAAAGCTTTCTACGAAGCTTTCGCACGTCGTCTCCGTCGTCGCCCACCAATGTATTGTCGATCAGGAAAAACTCTGGCATGACATTCTCATATTTTCCTCCAGACAAGACCTTCTTGATTCTATTTCGTACGCTATCTATTTTGCTGTCGTTGCCTTTCACCTTATCATTGTGAGTTAAGGCTATTAAAACTGGTGGCCGCTTAAAGTTCTCGCCTTTTGCAGTGGTACAGTGACCAGATTTATCAGGAAACTGTTGATCTTGGCATTCTCCTAAACCTTGCAGAAACTTCAA